TATGCACGTAACATTGTACGTGTTGCTATATCCGTTTTTTTTTTTTTTTCCTTTTCTTTTTTGCGCCTTTCCACGAAATATTCGCCATAGAGTCGAAAAAACAGTTCCGGTACGACCTACCGTCAGCTGGACAGGAGATCGAGGAGGCCGGATACTCGTGTAAAACCGATGGAATCGCGCAATGGGTTCGCGGATGGTCGGGGTATTTTTCGCTCGCTACTTCTTCTTCTTCTTCTTCTTCTTTTCTTCCCCCCTTTTTTCCCTCCGTTTCCTTTAACCTCCATAGAATGTATAACGTGGAACCGCTCGCCTCGACGCGGGCGGTTGTCGACTTCCGGGTGGAAAGGGTGGCAGGGTGAGGGGCTTGCGGGTGTTAAAAAGCGCGTTCTCTCGCTTCGTGTGTTGCGTACGTTTTTCGAAACGTTTGCACTCGTCCCCACGTGTGCACGCGCGCGTCACCAACGGAGGAGGGAGGTGCTCGGCTTTCACCTCGGGGCCTTCTCCTTCTCGGAAACGGTGGTGGTGGTCGCGCCCGCTTTCATAGCCGAGGCGCGACAAAGTGGCGAGTGTGCACGATTTCCGGTCGTGTTTCCGATCGCCGGTTGGCCGATGGATCGGGAGACGCCGAGAGGGCGGCAACGCTGCCTGCCAAGCGCGAAACCGAAGGGAGAAAGGGAAAGTGGAGGAGGCCGAGAATCCTCCGACCGTGGCGACGCCGTGGTGCGTCGAGTACCCGCGGAATCCCCCGATCGGGCGCGTTATTCATCCCCCGTACCCGTACGCGCGCATTTACGCGCACACGGATCGTATTTCGCCGTGTTTATCATATATATCGTAAACTTTTATACTTATACTGGTCAACGATACCGACTTTTCTCTTCCTACTGCTCCACGGAGTCTTCCATACTGATCACGGGTCCGTGTTGCTCCGCCGATTGTTGCTGGCTGCTCGTCTGCTCACCGGACCTGTTGTTCCCGCTATTGTAGCCCCGTTGCAGTTGCACGACCAGTCCGCTCACTGCACCGTACTCCTTCTGTTGCTGCTGTGGTTGTTGTTGCGGTTGTTGTTGCTGTTGTTGCGGTTGTTGTTGTTGTTGTTGCTGCTGCTGCTGCTGCTGTTGCGGTTGTTGCGATTGCTGTTGTTGCGGTTGTTGCTGCTGCTGTTGCGGCTGCTGTTGTTGCTGTTGAGT